TAGAGCTAAGTGGCGGTGTCTAGAGGGCTGTACATTCTGCTGTGCTTAAAACGACCTTACCTCTGAGAACTTACCTCTTTTTTAGCCCTTGTCATGCTTCTCCACCTGCCTCTATGGGTTCTGATCGTTGCAACGCTTCCATCCAGTATTCTAGGAAACGGCCTATACGGGATAATGACACAGGTAATACAATTCTAGCGCGTTGGTCCCTCATGCTACCACTGTAGAGTTTCTCTTGCTGCAAGTGCATCCTCATCGTTCACTACAAACCTGATAAAGTGTGAAGTCGTGAGTTTGCGTGAATGGAATCTTAGAGCAATGAACTTATTCCCACTTTGCAAGTGAAAATACGATCGCGAATTTGCGAGTGTGCTTCTCCAGTCAAAGGCTGTCAAGTCTGCGTCTCACACCGCACATAAAGCATGTGAAGGTATGAGGTGGGCATTTGGTATGACGTCATTCATCTCGACAGTCACTGAAGTGAAGAGCCGCATCTCCCATGCTTTGCAAGCCTTACTAATTGCTACTTTACCTTTATAAATACGTACACCTTACAAAAATCTAGGCAGAAATTAGAGGTATAGATTGACTTGAATATTCATTGCGAATGGTCATGGCATTGTAAGGAGGCGATAAGGACCATCAAAAAAGGATATGCGTTGTCTTTTACGGAGTCGACTCACAAATGGATTTCCCTGTAATGCAATCTTACCATCGATAACACCTGCGCCTTGAGGTTTCCTTTAAATTTTGTTACTTTCCGCCATATAAGTGCTAATCCCAAACGCTTCTTGTTAATAACTACGCTACTGCAAAATGTTCATTCGATTGGACCTAAAAACAACGATAAAACGTTGCATAGAGAGGTTCTTATTTTTTTATCGTTCAATTCATACTACTTTTTTTGCAAGTTTGTATGAAGATCTTATGAAAATCATAGTAAGTGTAAAATGATATTTGATCTCGACCAGGACCTTTGAGCAAAATCTGACAGTGTTGTATTACTAAAAAAAATTGCCTCCTTTTTACTTAAACGATAGCAGTATTTCTCTTGTTATGAATCGAGAGTCTATGTTCACCTCTGAGCTAGGTTAAACTTGCGAATTTAAAGGCAAAACAAAATAAGTCGACTAAGGTATGCCAAATTTTTTGCAAATTGAGTCAGTCAAGAATGGGTGGAGAGATATGATTTAACCACTTTTTCTTCCCTTATGGGATGTAATTCTAGCTCTACGTGTGCATTGCGGACCTGACAGAACAGAAAGCGGAAGTCATAGAACGGCGACTATCAACTGTGCCTCAACCCGCAGACAGCGAAACGCCGCCTATACCATTCGAGAGACGCCGCACCAGATCCATTTTTGAAAAAGGCGAGCCGAAGTCGGTGACCACAGTGCAGTCCTCAATGGCCTCTGAGCGTCTCTCCTACATCGCTCTTTTCGAAGGTTGCACAGGTGTCACCCTGTCCATTGGCACTATGATCATCGGTGAGTTCATATAATCATGCAAAACGTACCTGTTAAAGTGGCACCTGGGTAAATGAACCAACTTCATTTGAATAAGTTTTAATTGGACCCAGCTTCAAGCACCTCCTCGAGGCGAATTTTAAGTGGTGGTCTTCAAACCTCCAAACCATGAATGTCTTTGACACCTTTATTCCGCCTTTTCACTTATTTTACTTAGAGGTAGCAAAATTTATCAAATAAAATACCATATGGCACAGGACTTGAAATCTTTAATCCAGTCTTGTACTAGTAGTCTTGTAAAAGAAACTTTCCCCTACATTTTACTCGCCTAAATAAAATACTTTACGATTTTCTTTCTCCTAGGACCTGTTATTCAGAAATTTGGATTTGCTCTCTCGGGTTGGATAATTATCATCTTAACAGGCATTTGTGCGGTGTTATCAGGGTTTCTACCCAAC